GCTTAACCAACTGAGCCACCGAGGCGCCTGGCATTGTTTCTAATTCTAACAAAGACACAAAAGATGTTTTTGAGTAAGGTGATCATTGGAATTTTGTTCCTTTCCAAACTTGCACTGGGGTTTCAGGGAATTCGCTGTCACTCATGGTATATGTTTACATTTCCTTAATCGACACATATCAGAAGAAGACCACAGATAATATTCTCACCCATCTGACTCTTTTTTTTTTTTTTAAAGATTTTATTTATTTATTCATGAGAGACAGAGAGAGAGAGAGAGGCAGAGGGAGAAGCAGGCTCCCAAGGAGCAGGGAGCCCGATGCGGGACTCGATCCCAGGACCCTGGGATCATGACCTGAGCCGAAGGCAGACGCTTAACGATCTGAGCCACCCCGGTGCCCCATCTGACTCTTTTAATATGATACCATAATTTGTAGAGGCATCCCAGAATGCTGTTTTCTTTTGGAATTAAGTATTTTTTGGATGTAAGGGAGTGATGTTCACTTACAGAGTTGCACGTGGACTTTTAAAAAAAATTATTATTACTGTTGTTGTTATTTAAAATTGATTTAGTGTTTTTATATTGCCAGATTTTGACTTATATTTATTATGTCAAGAAGAAGGCATAATTTTTTTTAAAGATTTTATTTATTTGAGAGAGAGAGAGAGAGCATGAGTAGGCGGGAGGGGCAGAGGGAGAGAGAGAAGCAGACACCCCGCTGAGCAGGGAGCTTGGCGCACGGGGCTCCATCCCAGGACCCAGAGATCATGACCTGAGCTGAAGGCAGACGCTTAACTGACCATAATTTTTAAGTTCACATTACAGATGCAGAAATCTAGGCTTATAGAGATTAAGTTGGCTGAATAGTATTGCCAGGACTTGACAACTGACTATACTCTTCGTCTCTACTCTATCACTGAAACTGTAATCTACATAAGGAGATAAATTATACACCTGTACCCATTAAACATAAGTAATAAAATAAGCAGTAAAGTAACAAAATAATTCCAGAAAATAGATTACTTGTGCAAACCCTGAAGATGAATTACTAAACTTCTTTTTTTTTATTCTTATGTTAATCCCCATACATTACATCATTAGTTCTAGATGAAGTGTTCCATGATTCATTGTTTGTGCATAACACCCAGTGCTCCATGCAGAATGTGCCCTCCTCAATACCCACCACCAGGCTAACCCATCCTCCCACCCCCCTCCCCTCTAGAACCCTCAGTTTGTTTTTCAGAGTCCATCATCTCTCATGGTTCATCTACCCCTCCGATTTTCCCCACTTCATTCTTCCCCTCCCGCTACCTTCTTCTTCTTTTTTTTTTTCTTAACATATATTGCATTATTTGTTTCAGAGGTACAGATCTGAGATTCAACAGTCTTGCACAATTCACAGCGCTTACCAGAGCACATACCCTCCCCAGTGTCTATCACCCAGTCACCCCATCCCTCCCACCCCACCCCCCACTCCAGCAACCCTCAGTTTGTTTCCTGCAATTAAGAATTCCTCATATCAGTGAGATCATATGATACATGTCTTTCCCTGTTTGACTTATTTCACTCAACATAATACCCTCCAGTTCCATCCACGTCATTGCAAATGGCAAGATCTCATTCCTTTTGATGGCTGCATAATATTCCATTGTATATATATACCACATCTTCTTTATCCATTCATCTGTTGATGGACATCTTGGCTCTTTCCACAGTTTGGCTATTGTGGACATTGCTGCTATAAACATCGGGGTGCACGTACCCTTTCGGATCCCTACTTTTGTATCTTTGGGGTAAATATGAATTACTAAACTTCTTAAGACTTAGGGTTACATGAGGTTTTCTTTCTTTTTTTTTTTTTTAAGATTTTTATTTATTTATTCATGAGAGACAGAAAGAGAGAGAGAGGCAGAGGGAGAAGCAGGCTCCCAAGGAGCAGAGAGCCCGATGCGGGACTCGATCCCAGGACCCTGGGATCATGACCTGAGCCGAAGGCAGACGCTCAACCATCTGAGCCACCCAGGCATCCCATGAGGTTTTCACTTCTGAGGAAGTTACATGTTGCTGTAAGACAAGAAACCAATTCTCCTGTTTCAACAATGAGAAAACACAGAGTTCCAAAGAATAAGTATTTGCGGTCATTAATAATTGAGTACTTTTATTCTCTTCTAGGGTCCATTTCCTCTTTGAAAAATATTAATAAATTCTTTTTTGATGCTTTTTGTGTGTTTGTTTCTGTTGTTTTTTTTTTTAACTTAAATTCAATTAACATATATTATTGGTTTCAGAGGTAGATGTCAGTGATTCATCAGTTGCATATAACATCCAGTGCTCATTACATCACGTGCCCTCCTTAATGCCCGTCATCCAGCTATCACATCCTCCCCACTCACCTTCCCTCCAGCCACCCTCAGTTTGTTTCCTATGCTTAAGAGTCTCTTATGGTTTGTCTTTCTCTCTGATTTCATCTTGTTTTATTTTTTCCTCTCTTCCCCTATGATCCTGTTTTGTTTCTTAAATTTCACATATCAGCGAGATCATATGATAATTGTCTTTCTCTGATTGACTTATTTTGCTTAGCATAATACCCTCTAGTTCCATCCATGTTGTTGCAAATGGCAAGATTTCATTTTTATGATGTCTGCATAATATTCCATTGTATATATATACCACATCTTTATCCATTCATCTGTCAGTGGACATCTGGGCTCTTTCCATAGTTTGGCTATTGTGGACATTGATGCTATAAACATTAGGGTGCAGGTGTCCCCTTTGGATAGCTCCATTTGTATTTTTGGGGTAAATACCCAGTAGTGCAATTGCTGGGTCATAGGATAGATCTATTTTCAACCTTTTGAGGAACTTCCATACTGTTTTCTAGAGTGGCTGCACCAGCTTGCATTCCCACCAACAGCATAAGAGGGTTCCCCTTTCTCTGCATCCTCACCAACATCTGTTGTTTCCTGACTTGTTAATTTTAGCCATTCTGACCGGTGTGAGGTGGTATCTCATTGTGGTTTTGATATGCATTTCCCTAATGATTAGTGATGTTGAGCATCTTTTCATGTGCTTGTTGGTCATCTGTACTTCATCTTTGGAAAAATGTCTATTCAGATCCTCTGCCCATTTTTTAATTGGATTGTTGGTTTTTTTTTTATTGAGTTGTATGAGTTATTTATTTATTTTGGATATTAACCTCTTATCAGATACATCATATGCAAATATCCTTTCCTATTCAGTAGGTTGTCTTTTAGTTGTTTTTTTTAAGATTTTATTCATTTATTTGACAGAGAGAGACATAGCGAGAGAGGGAATGCAGGGGAAGTGGGAGAGGGAGAAGCAGGATCCCCGTGGAGCAGGCAGCCTGATGCGGGGCTTGATCCCAGGACCCTGGGATCATGACCTGAGCCGAAGGCAGACACTTAATGACTGAGCCACACAGGCTCCCCGGTTGTCTTTTAGTTTTGTTGATCATTTCTTTCGCTATGCTGAAGCTTTTTAGTTTGAGGTAATCCCAATTGTTTATTTTTGCTTTTGTTGCCCTTGATTTGCAGTCGGATCAAAATAACAACAATAACCAAATCCTAGAGCTGAAGAATACAATGGCTGATCTGAAAAATTCAAGAGAGATTCAACAAAAAACTTGACCAAGCAGAAGAATAAATCAGTGAACTTGAAGGTGGATCTTTTGAAATTATCCAGTCAGAGAAGGAAAAAAAAAAAAAAGTGAAGTAAGCCTCTATGATTTATGGGACATCATCAAAAGAAATAATATATGCATTGGAGGAATCCCAGAAGGAGAAGAGAGATAGGGCAAGAAAGTCTATTTAAAGAAATAATGATGGAAAACTTCCAAATTTGGGGAGAGAAATGGAATTCCATGCTGACCTAGATCTCTAGGAGAAACATGAACATCCTAGAATGGGGAGGGCTGTGTGTTAATGATGAAAGAACTCTGTCATTTGGGGCCCAGGTGGCTCCACTATGGATCCTGCTTCAAAAAAAAACTGCCGTATGGGAAACAGAAGACTTTCCCTATGAATTGAGGCATTATAGATTCTACAATACTACAAGAGGATGCCACAAGGAGCATCAAAATCCAGGAACAAATTGGCACCACCAGTGGAGTGGCCAAAAGAGAAGCTTGGAGACGTGGGGCTGCCGGTATGTGGAACTAGGCAGAGAATCGATGCAAGAGATAAAGCCACAAGAATGTAGAAGCAAACAGAGATTACCTTTGATAGCAAAGGCAAGAGGGTGGGCAACTGTCTTACAGTAGTTGGAAGTTAGATTCTCCTTGGGGATGGCTGCCACAGTGTATCAGCAGCTCAGGGGTCCAAACTAGTCACCTGAGTAATGCACAGGGCAAACTTCAGCTGAGAAGATAAGAGGTGAGGGCAAGGAGGTTAAGGGAAGTCCATCCCATAAAAGGCAAGTGGAGGTCTCTCTGAGATCTAAAGCAGGAAATAAAAGAGTGACCCCGCCAGGTGGCGGTTCCCCCAGCCACTGCTCCCACAGGCTACAGCCTCCACGGCTTCTCCACTTGCCCCACCTCTGCCCGGATATGCCGAGCAGCTCCCAGCTCTTTCCCAATATCTGGGCAGTGATGTTGAGGCGAAGGGGGGAGAGAAGTGGGCACAGCAGGTCCTGGATCTTGGAATCCGCAGATGTAGGTTGCATTTGCAATAGGGGTAGATCATTGTGCAACTTGCCGGTCTTCTCTGGAGCTCAGATTTTTGGACATCTATAAGATACAGACACTGATGATGCCATTTAACTCACAGGGCTTCAGGGGGGTACCGGTGAGATCACAGACTGAGAGTTCTATAAACTCTAGGGCGATATGTGTGTAGTGATATGAATATCAGTGGCAGGTTTCCAGAACACAGGTGGGGGTGAGAGTAAGTCAACAAAGAAGAAATTGCCCCACTTCCTGGAAAGAGCTCTTAGAAGAACAGGGCTGGGCGGCTCAAGTTACAAGGTAGGCATAAATAGCTAGTGCCTGCCAAGGAAAGCCTAGTTGGACTGGAGATCCTGGAGTCCCAGAAGAAGCAACTGTGAGTGTTTCTGTCCTTTGCCCTCATTTTGTTTTCCCAATGCCTGGTGAATATCTCTCTACCCATATGGCTGCTTTATCCTACTGGTCCTGTGAAGGCAGGATCTGGGTAGCTATTCTGGTCTAGGAGGTTGATGGGTAGGGGGCAGAGTGGGGTAATGAGGAGTGCTCTTCTGCCCCTCACTGCTCCCTATGCCCTCTGGGCTGGGGGAGGGTGGATCACTTGGATGGCACCCACCCAGACCCCAGACACCATTGTCTGGAAGCCCCAGTGGAAAATGCAATTTCAACTTCTCTCGTAGTTCCTCTCCATTCCCCATTTCTTCAGAAAGAAGGCTGGTAGAGGAGAAACAGACCAGGCTTTCACGGGTCTGGGTTCTAAGCTCATCCACATACCAGCTGCCTGTGGGACATGGACATTCATACTTTTCTCATGGGTGAAGAAGTCCACCTCTGAGCCTTCCACAGCTGTGGCAGGCTCAGAGGTGGACTTCTTCCTCCTCAGGGGGTGGATTTCCCTGAGACATTCGGTCAAATGTTTCCTTTAAAAAATAGACTTACTGGACTAGGTCACTAATTTTCAGGGGAGTCATTTTTCTCAATAAAATCTGAATCTGGAAGCTTGGCGCGAACACTGTGGGTTGAGGGGGCTGCGGCTCTGCGCACTCCCTCTGTAGCCCCAGCTGAAACGCCTCATCTGAACCGTAGGTCTGAAAACCTGTGAGTTAGCTCTCTTCGAGGCCACTTCCTGCTACAGTGGACTGTGGGGCCTTCTATGGCATCTTGAGCTGCTGGGCAGAATGCCTGTTGCCTTTTGTTCTTCCCCAGATTTGGCATGCAGGGCCCCAGAGTTGAGATAGCTGCCAACAAGTGGACAATGCCCTTGCTCTGGCCTGGGTCCTTGGGTGCTCATGATCGAGCTTTTGCCACAAGTCCGGTGAAGGCCTGGTGACCCCCTCCTCCTTTGCACATGTCCCCCAGGCTTTGTTCCTAGCCTCTGCAACTCCCACAAGCTCTTTCCATGCTCATAACTTTACAATTTCTCTCTGAGAGAGGAAAGACGCCCAATATTGGAGGTGACTCAGGCCCTGTACCGGCCCTGGTGTCACTTAGTCCTTAAGTCCCAGGCAGTTGGTAACTGGATGCCCTACTGGACACCTGCTCTTTCTTATCCCCAAACTAGCCTTCCCCTGACCGAACCCATCTCACACGTCCCCTTCCGCCCTGAGGCCTTTCTTTTAAGTGCTCTTAGGTTGTTGGAGCAGAATACTACGTGTCCCAGGGGCTCTCCAGCTACTAACTTCATATCTCTGAGGACTTTCACCTGGATTCTCTGTGGGAATTTCCTTACGGAGACAGTGTCTAGTCCAGGGATGGCTAATCAGCTGGAAAACATGCAACCACATACCCATCCTGTGCTCAGGACAGACATCACTAAGCATCCAGGACTCTGACTCCTTTTCAGAATAGCACTGCAGACGACACGAGTGCTAGTCCATCCAAGGCAGCAAGTGAGAGGGAACGGGTTTGCCTTGTCGGAGCTAAGCCACCCACCTTAATAATACAGGCAGGGAGAAGGAGGTCCGGTGGGGAAAGGTCCTTTCCAGAACTACCCAGTGAATCCTTCCTGATTCATGGCTTCACGAATCATGACTTCAGTGAGGAATCATGACTTCATGGCTTCAGTGAGGAATTCTACATCCTAGCCCTGGTGCTGATAGCAGTACCCAGGGAAGACACAAGAAAGGACAACACGGGGCATCTGAAAGTAGGTGGATACTGCTGTCAACTCATGTCAGGGGTTCCATCTGGGTAACTCGTGCTCTCCCAGGCCAGACCATATGCCCACCTGGTCCCTCCACTCTTTTGGGAGCCCTGCTGCTCTCAGCCCCACAGGAGGGAGGGGGGTTGTGGAGAGGTGCTTCTCCTGACCTTCAGGAGTCAGGCCAAGCCCTAACCCATGTCCTAGGACCAAGAGCATGTCCTTTCTCTTTCTGTCATCTGCCTAGGCCATGCTTCTCCTCCCTCTCTCCATGCTGATCCTGCTCACACAGCCCCTGAGGTCACTGGGAGCAGAAATGAAGACCTATTCCCAGAGAGCAGCGGCCAGCACCTGCACCCTGATCATGTGTAACCCCGTGGAGAATGGCCTGCCCGGTCGTGATGGACGGGATGGAAGAGAGGGCCCCCGGGGCGAGAAGGGGGATCCAGGTAGAGCTGGGACCATGGGCTCGTCCTGGTGGAATGGGGTGGGCATTGGAATTGTAACCAATCCAGAAATGCTGGTTGTTCTGCTGTAGAAGGCTCAGAGGTGGACTTCTTCCTCCTCAGGGGGTGGGTTTCCCTGAGACATTCGGTCCTTCTGAAATGCTGTTTTACCATTTGAAAAATGACCAGCTGTTCTGAGCCCCCAGGTGCCTTCCTCCATTACCAGTTGCCCTGACTCCTCCCCCGGATTCTTCTGATTCCTCCCACCCCAAGAATGAGGAAATAGTGGGGACATGGAATTTGTGGTTCTCCAGAACCCAGCTCCAGGGACTTAACAGTTGGTCCTCCAGATTAAATGGTGTCTGTGCGGGGAGATAAATATTTTTAATACTGCATGAAGAATGGGAAAGAAGGAGGCTCAGTGGCCCCAGACTCAGGTCTGATCAAAAGGATTTACCCTAATACATTACGGAGAGAATGAAAGGGAGCTCACATTTCTTTCTCCTAGCCTTGTGCTTGGGCATCACTGAGTAATTCATTTAACCCTACCAAATGTTTCACAAGAAACAACATATGACTCACATTTGGCAGGTGAGAACATGGTGACGCAGAAAGGCCAAATGACACCCAGTGTGGAGGGGAAAAGACACGGGCTTGTGCATCAGACAGATCTGTGCCAGACAGCTAGCTCCATCTCCACAGCAGAGACCTACCCTGGGACAAGCCAGTGTCCCCGAGTCTGTTTGCTCATCTATAAATGGGAATAATATCGACCACACAGTGACGAATAACTGAGCCAAGGTTCTACTTTTTTGTTAAGTTGTCAAGATGAAGGTGCATGTTCCTGCTGGTCCAATCAGGTGAATTCCCCTGAGGTTCCCAAAGGTACTGATTATTAAGGGAATTATCTGAGTCTCAGTGGCAAGGCGTCAGAATTCAGTGAACCAACAACTAAGACAAGGGATCTGCAGGCACTGCATTTTGGTTGGGGAGGAAGGAAGGAAACTAACAACATTTAAGCTGGAAAGAATGGGTAACATCTCCAGGCTTTGTAGGGTAAGGCGCAAGCGAGTATCTATCTGTCCATCCTTTACAGACAGAAAGTGGCTCCCAACGTGAATGGCCTGGGGCTTGGGGAAGGCCACCTGGAAGGGAACTCAGAAGAAGGGTGGTATTCAGGGTGTCCACATCTTGGAGAATCCCCGATCTCTCCAACTCTCAGAGGGGCCCTGAATTAAATCCCAGGGGTGTCTTTTCCTACAGTCGCCCTGTGACCCTGCAGCATCGAGTGTGGCTGAGCCCCCCTCTTTTGTGCAGATGCCTCCCCCCCAACCCATGCACATGCACATACCTTGGGTTGGTGCTTGGAGAAAGAACCATACACAGTTGGGCCCAGGAACCAAGCTGCACTCTGGCTCCTGGATTGCAGGCACATGACATTATGGGTCTGAGAATTTCCTAGAGAGCTTGGAGCACCTCAGAATCCCGACCCAAGGAAGTCTGGCTGGGGCTAGAGTCTGGACTTATGACAATGTCCCCTGCAGATGCTGACGCACAGGGTTCCAGATAGGCCAGAGAGAAGAGAGCCTTGAGCAGAGGTGGAGGGTGGAGTCGGGTCACTATGGTAATGCCTCAGGCATATCATGGATGGTCCATAAGACCCCATCCTGTTTTGGGGGCTGTATTTCCAGGGACAGTCCCCTTATTCCTCAGCACCTCCAAGATTCCTTCCCAGAAGGATTGAGCAAGAGCGTCCCTCCAGGGGCACGCATCTCCCTCAGAATAAAACCACACACTCCTCAGCAGCCCACAAGGACACTCCACCCCTGCCTATTTCTTTGACCTCGCCTCCTTCTCCTCTGGCCACACTGGCTCCTTGCTGATCCCTAACCACATTCAGCCCCCCACCTACTTGAGGCCCTGTCACTGCTCTCCCCATAGCTGCCCTTGTGGGTCACTCCTCACCTTCCTCCTGGCTTTCCTCACAGACCACCTTCTCCGCGAGTCTGTCCCTGACCACCCTACTTAGAAGACACTGCGCTCCCTTCTGACACTCTCTGTGCTTTATTTTTCCTCTGTGGCACTTATTCTGATCTAATAAACCCTAGGTTGTACATTTTAATTTTTAAGATCTCTTTCTATGCAGTTGGGTTTAAGCTCCAAGAGGAAGGGATCTGCTTTTGTGTCTGCTTCTTTCCCTGGCATGTCCCAACATCAAGATGCTGTCTCGTGCACAGTAGAAGTTTCAGCGAGTACTTGTGGAATAAAGGAAGGGAAAATGAAAGGAGAGGAGGGATTTACTGCGGTGAAGACTGGCCACACTGCTGGTCCTTAAAGCTTCACTTCAGGCCATACTGAGGTACAGGGCTGGCCTTTGGGGGACACTAGGATGCAAAATTGGTGTTTGTTTGTTTTTTTAAGATTTTATTTATTTATTTGAGAGAGAGAGAGCATGAGAGAGCACAAGCAGGGGGGAGGGGAAGAGGGAGAAGCAGGATCTCCACTGAGCAGGGAGCCCCACATGGGGCTCGATACCAGGACCCTGGGATCATGACCTGAGCTGAAGGCAGATGCTTAACTGGCTGAGCCACCCAGGCGCCCCCAAATTAGTGCTTTTGGAGGCATGGGTGCTTGCCTGGGTCCCCTCTTCCGGCCTCCAGGGCTTGTGCACCATGGATGGGAGACCTCTACCGCTCCTTCTACCTGTCCCCAGCCCAGCGAGGGTGAAGCCCAAGAGAGGCTCAATCTAGGGGCAGGACATTTCTGCCCCAGCACAGTGTGACCTGTTGGACATGGGATGTGGGGCCCAACCTATAACTCACTCTGCTTCCATTGCATTCCCAATGAGGATCATAACTAGAAGCAGGACGCCATGCCCAGCACAGAGCTTCTCAACCACCCATCCCAGGCACCAGCCCCCCGCCACCGGCTCATTCTTGCTCAGGCTGGCCTGGTCGCTCCTCCCCTGGGAGCACATTTTCTAAGTCTAACATGTCCCCTTTCCTCTGCAATTCTCTCTAAATCCTCCTCACCCTAAAGTCCCATTTCTTCTTCTAGGAAGAGAGCTCTGGGCATGTGTGCGTGCTGGGGTTGGGGTGATGATGTGACGGGACGAGGGACATCTTGTGAATTGTCTTCCTCACTCATGGCCTGTGCCTCACAGTTGAAAATCCTATCCCAAATCCCGTGCAGACCGGGACCTGGTGCTAACATTTGCATCTCGCCCAGCGCCGGGCCTATGGTTGTATTGCATGGCTTCTTAGTGAACAAGTAAGTAAATGAAGAAGTCAGCACCACCTGTCAGGTGTCATTTCTTTTTGCACGTGAATGTTTATAGCAGCTTTATTCACAACAGCCCAAAGGCCTGGCGATGGGTGAATGGACGAACAAGATGTGCTCTGTCCATTTGGTGGAACATGACTCAGCCATAAAAGGAAATAAAGTGCTGAGACACACTGTGAAGTGGATGGCTCTCAGGGACGTCACCCCCAAGTTACAAAAGCCAGACGTCAAATGTCATAAGTTGTAGGGATCCATGTATATGAAATGTCCAAAATAGGAAATAGAGACAGAAAGCAGAGTAGTGGCGTCCAGGGGCTGGGAGGAGGGGGAATTGGGGGTGATGGCTTAGTGGCTATGGTTTTTTTGAGGGGTGATGAAATGATTTTGAACTTAATAGAGGAGTGAGTGAGTGAGTGAGCTAACTGCCACTGAACTGTGTGCTTTGAAAAGGTTAATGTGGGGCGCCTGGGTGGCTCAGTTCTTAAGCGTCTGCCTTCGGCTCAGGTCATGATCCCAGGATCCTGGGATCGAGCCCCGCATCGGGCTCCCCGCTCGGCGGGAAGCCTGCTTCTCCCTCTCCCACTCCCCCTGCTTGTGTTCCTGCTCTCGCTGTCTCTGTCAAATAAATAAATAAAATCTTAAAAAAAAAAAAGAAAAGGTTAATGTTATATGAATTTCACCTCAGTTAAAAAAAAAAAAGAATAACCAAAAGAACAGAACTGAGTGTAAAACTCTTAAACATTGAGAGTCATCTGCTCCTGTTAATCTTTTGGGGGTAAATCTTGAGTAATGGCAGGCCTAGGCAGCCCTTCTGGAGGTAACACGTCTTTCTAAAAATGCTTGATCATTTTTCCAATACAAAAATAATTTGTGACCACTAAAGAAACAACAAGAAAGTTACCATTACCTTGTGTCACTAGGAAGGAACAGCTGGTCACACTTCTATATATGCTTCTGTGTCTTTCCCAGTACGTCCTGCATGTGCACGCCCTACACACCCATGTACGTACTTGTGAAACAGGATCCCGTTGCGCATAGGGATACATTAGGTTACAATTTGGTCTCTTTTCTATGGTTTCAAGAGCATATTGCATTGCTTTTGCTTTTTTTTATTGAGGTATAATTGACATATAACATTGTCTTCGTTTCTGATGTATAACAGTGATTCAATATTTGCACGAATTGTGAGATGATCACTGTAAGAAGTCTTGTCAACGTCTGTTACCACACATAGTACAATTTTTTTCTTGTTGTGATAAGAACTTTTAAGATCTACTCTCTGGGGGCACCTGGGTGGCTCAGTTGGTTGGGCGACTGCCTTCGGCTCAGGTCATGATCCTGGAGTCCTGGGGTCAAGTCCCACGTCGGGCTCCCGGCTCCGCAGGGAGCCTGCTTCTCCCTCTGACTCTCTCCCCTCACATGCTGTTTCTCTCTCTCTCTCTCTCAAATAAATAAATAAAATCTTAAAAAATATATATGTATATATAAAAAAGATCTACTCTCTGACGTGAGGTAAACCTCAGAGAAATTGCCACAATAGCTCATGTATAGGCAATCTTGCTTGTTATTCTGTGGGGATAGTAACAGGACCCCATGGGCATATGATTATTTAAATGGCAAAAAAAAAAAAAAAAGGATTTGATTCCCCAACGATTATATAACTCAACTAGAACCTTGATCAATTCTATGTGGCTGGGATAACAAAAATTGCTCTTTTAAAGCCAGAGTTTACCCCACTGCATGGGATTAACTATGGGCTTACAGAGATAATGGATGATCCCACTTTCTTTATGATTCAATTGGATAATGTCCTTGGGGATGCCCTTATATCCTGAAACAAGTCTTCTCCCACTTGCCGGTGATTCCTTATGATTAAGATACTGTTAAGGCTAGACCTTAAATGAAGAGAACTTCTTCTTTTTTCTTTTTAAGATTTTATTTATTTATTTGACAGAGAGAGACACAGCGAGAGAGGGAACACAAGCAGGGGGAGAGGGAGAGGGAGAAGCAGGCTTCCCGCGGAGCAGGGAGCCCTATGCGGGGCTGAGCCAAAGGCAGACGCTTAATGACTGAGCCACCCAGGCGCCCCTTACGAAGAGAACTTCTTGATAGTTTTATCTCATAGTCATTTATCCTAGAAGCTGCCTCTATTGATGTACACTTGCAAACAAAGGCTTTAGCCAAACATACAACATACCACAGCCCTCCTGGTAAAAAGAGCCTCAGAACTCACTATGGGACTTCCAGGACTTACATAAAATAAGCAAAACAGTATGCTTGCTCAGCAGGACTCTAAATGTTACTTCCCAGGCGCTAGATGTACTCAGCCAAGAATTAAGTGAAGTCAGAGAGGGACTTCTCCAGAACGGTGCCACTACTGACTGCCTAGTATTACTAGGGGTATGAGGGATTTCCTCATGTGTTGTTCTAACGTTTACAGGTGTCCCAATTAATAGGGGACGTTTGCAATCCGTTAAATAAGATCAAGATATCTACTAATCTCTTTGACAAAATTGGTAACTGGGGATCTTATCTAAGGAATGTGATCATAATTTGGGGCCTAATACTTGTTTTATGTTCATCCTTTTGCATGTGCTGCTGCATGTCCCGTTTGCTGTCCGTCATGACCCCCTGGAGCCATACCGCCGGCCTCTGGACCGACTCCTGGATAGATTCTAACTGCTGCACAGCCCGCCATCCCAGTTCAGCAGGAAGCAGCCAGAGTGGTCACTGTCCAATTCCCTAATGGCAGTTAGGGTTACTATTTCCAGGGGAAAGAATGACTAAGGGACAGGGGAGGCTAGGTAGGGAGAGATAGATAGGGGGCTATGTGATCAGGCTCACAGAAATCCCAAAAATGTCAGGGTGTGGGGAAACAAGAGCTAAGGGAACAAACCGGACCACCCTGCCTAAGCATGTGGGGTGGGTGTCTTTTTTTATGATAATCACCTATGACCAACAAAGAATAACCAGACCCTAAAAAGGAAGTAAGCCATTGAAGGTGTTATCACTAGTCCTTGCTCAATGGTGATATAGAGAGGATAAAAGGATTTAAGGTCCCTGGTTAGCTGTTTATAAAAGACCAACCCTAAATGCCCTCAGTGGCGGACCCGTCTCACTCCTGAGAGCTTTTTTCTGTATCCTTGCTTAATAAACGTCTATCACTTTACTCACAAAAAAAAAAAGAAAAAGAAAAAAAAAAAAGATCTACTCTCTGAGCAACTTCCACATACACAATACGGTATTATTAATTCTAGTTGCCATGCTCTACATGACATCCACAGAACTTATTTTATAACTGGACATTTGTATCTTTTGACCACCATGAGCCATTCTGCCCACTTCCCAAGCCCACCTCTGGCAATCACCAATCTGTTCTCTGTATCTATGAGTTTGTTGTTTTTGTTTGTTGGTTGGCTTGTCTGTTTAGATTCCACATATAAATGAGATCATATGGGATTTGTCTTTCTCTGTCTGACTTAATTTCATCTACCATAATGCCCCCAAGTCCATCCATGTTGTTGCAAATGGCAAGATTTCGTTCTTGGTTATGGCTGAGGAATATTCCATCATATATACACCTGCATTTTCTCCATCCACTCATTCATCAATGGACATCTAGGCTCTAAGCCGTCTCCATGTCTTGGCTACTGTAAACAATGCCACAATGAACATGGGGGTGCAGATATCTTTTTGAATTAGTGTTCTTGCTTCCTTTAGATAAATACCCAGAAGGGGAATTGCTGGATCATATAGTAATTCTACTTTTAATTTTTTGAGGAACCTTCATTCTGTTTCCCACAGTGGCTGCACCGATTTACATTCCCACCAACAGTGCACAGGGGTTTCCTTTTCACCACATCCTGGCCAACGCTTGTTATCTCTTGTCTTTTTTGATAATAACCATTCTAACAGGTGTGAGGTGGTATCTCATTGTGGTTTTGATTTGCAGTTCCCTGATGATTAGTGCCAAGTGTCATTTCTGATAGAAACTTTGGTTCTGGGAAGGCGAGAACAAGGAGTCCATGATCAAGGGTAAATGCTGACAGATTGCCGGCTGTAAATACCGTGGATAAGCCAAGTCGGTTGGGTCTTGGCTTGAATCCACAGCCAACTCTGGCTGGCCTGTTTTCTCACCTGTAAAATGGGGATGGGGACACCCATTTCCTGGATCACCACTGGACCAAGGAGTGTGGAGATGGAATGTCTCTTCAAGTAGAACCTTGAAGGCATGCAAGGGGCCTGACATTAGAGGCATCTGGCTCCTCCTAGGCCCAAGGCCAGGTTTATACCCATCTCTTCTGCTGCTACAGGTTTGCCAGGAGCTGTAGGGAGAGCCGGGATGCCTGGACCAGCTGGCCTAGTTGGGCCCAAAGGGGACAATGGCTCTGCGGGAGAGCCTGGACCAAAGGGAGACTCCGGACCATCTGGTGAGCAGCTGCGCATGGAGTTCGGCTGTCTGCAGGTGCTGCTGCCGTCCCTGGGATTTGCCAGTAGACATGCACAGATCCCATCCCAGGGAGAAGGAAGAAGGTTGTTGTGAAGGTGGCACTGGGTTATCTCAGAGAAGCCTGGAAAGTACCACGGCTGCCTCTCTCACTTCTATCATTGCTCTCGTCTTTTCTTTTTTTTTTTTTTTTTAAGATTATTTATTTATTTATTTGAGAAAGAGAGAATGAGAGACAGAGAGCATGAGAGGGAGGAGGGTCAGAGGGAGAAGCAGACTCCCTGCCAAGCAGGGAGCCCGATGCGGGACTCGATCCTGTGACTCCAGGATCATGACCTGAGCCGAAGGCAGCTGCCCAACCAACTGAGCCACCCAGGCGCCCGCTCTCGTCTTTTCATGTGTTCCCCCGCCAACAAGGTTTAGCGCCACTGACCAGGGTGGTCTTTTTCCCCAGGACCTCCGGGACCTCGAGGCATGCCTGGTTCAGCTGGCAGAGAGGGTCCATCAGGGAAGCAAGGGAACGTAGGACCTCAAGGCCCACCTGGCCCTAAAGGAGAGGCCGGGCCCAAAGGTAGGTGGTTGGTATGTGGCTTGTCTGAGAGAGAGAGGGGAGGAGTATGGTGGCGGTCCGGGCTGGGACCTCAGGCAGCAAGCTCGGAGGGCCAGGAAAAGCCCAGACGGTCAGCGCTGGGTAGGCCAAGTCGTGGCCCCTTCCTCCCCTCCTTCCCACAATGGTGGCGTTTTCCTGTTCACCTCCCTGGAGGAAGCCCCGTAAGGGGCACCTTCTCCCTAGTTGGCTCTCTCCCCCTGGAGCGGTGGGTGAAAACTCCAGGACTGAACACACTCTCAGCAACATTTGTCCCAATTGATTCCTTCCTCAGGAGAAGCGGGTGTGGCCGGCAAGCCGGGCTCTGCGGGGACACAAGGTCCCACAGGTGTTAAAGGAGAGAGAGGTGCCCCGGGTGAGCACGGAGCCCCTGGGAGTGCTGGGGCAGCAGGTGAGTGATGGAAGGGGCTAGGGCCGGGCTCCGGTTCCCTTGTGTCCCCCTGGTGCTGCCGATGGCCATCTCTCCACCACCACCACTCATCACGTCAGAGCTGGTGTGACCAGGAGGGGAGAGTCTACGGCCAAGGAGGGTGACTGCTGGGCTCTGGGAGCTGTCTGCATCGAGGGAGAGTGACACGTGAGCAACAGGGCTAGTCTAGGTGCCAGAGAGGTGGGTCTTTGGGTGATGGGACGGTCAGCGTAAGGAGAGGGTGCATGGCTGGGTTCTGGGAACAGTCTGTATAGGGGAAGGGGGACCATAGGCCAGTTGGATGGTCCATGTACTGGGAGGCTGAAAATGCTGGAAAACGTGTACAGAGCTCACCCAGCTCTTCTTCTGTGATCCCAGGACCTGCTGGAGCCATGGGTCCACCGGGACCTCCAGGTGCCATAGGGCCCCCGGGACTGAAGGGGGACAGAGGTGCTCCTGGGAACAAAGGAGAGAAGGGAGAGAGTGGGCTTCCGGGTAAGGTGGCATCTGCCAGATTTGGGAGTTCCCACAGGGTGGGGGCAGGGGGAGGAAGGTGGTGCTCTTATCTATCAGGACAGCCTATCCTTCAGACTTCAGCCCCATTAATCATGGGGAGTGGTGGGAAACAGGAAAGCTAGCAGGCAGGAAGGCAGGAGAATTAGGCTCTGGTTTTAGACTTACTCAGTGGAGGGCAACCCTGGGCAGCTTTTCCATCTGATCACTGGGGAAAGCATAGCCCCCTTCCCGACTCAAAGCATAGTTTGAGTATCAAATAACCCAATGGATGGGAAGTATTCCTATCCCCCCAAAAAGAGGTGCTATGGGATGCCCAGAATTTGGAGTTCAAATGTCATGCGGTCCGTGTCTGTGAGGTGCAGGGACCTGCTTGTGGGACACTTAGTTCATAGCAGAACCACGGGAAATCTGGGAGGAACAGGGGTCGGTTATGTCAGCAGATATGGGCTTCTTAGGACCTGGTCCCAGCAGCTTAGCCCACCCCAAGTATGTGCCTGCAACTGGGCACCCTTCCCTTGAGGCCTAGGCTCTGAGCTGATCCCAGGCTACACTGGGCTTACCTTCCCTCGGCCTCTCTCTTCGGCAGACATCACTGCTCTGAGGCGGCAGGTGGAGGCCTTGCACGGACAGGTACAACACCTCCAGAATGCCTTCTCTCAGTATAGGAAAGGTAAGTTCCTGGGCCTGACTGGAGCCAGGCACCAAGGCTAGGCCCCCGACTGGGTCTGGGCCTTGGTTTGGCATTGGCTGGGTTTGGGTCTAGGATTGGAATGGGCTGGGACCACATTTAGGGCTGGACCTGGCTCTGGGGCAAGGTCTGGGGCTGAGAATAGGGCTGGGACAGAGCATACTCCAGGATCTGCAAGTAGATACAAGAGACATATAGGAGGATGTGGCCCTATCGCCAGTTCAGTGGGGTGACAGAAGTATGGTAGATGTTATCAGGCTCTAGGATGCCCCCAGTATCACAGCCACCTGTGACCCAGTCAGTGCCCTAAACCCTGCCTACCCCATGCTGGTCCCTGTGATAGACAGCGGACACCCAACCCAGATGTATTCCTAACATCTGTGGGGCCCTGTGTGTGAGTGCCCAGAGACGTTGCTTCACGGCCCAAGGCAGCAGAGAATCCAGACACTGTCCTGAGAGCCGGGGCTGGGATGCTGCCCTTGGGGTTCAAGGCTGGTGGGGGCCTGGCCTTGCCGTGTGGCCAATCAAGTACCTCACCCTGGACATGCTCAAGGTTCTGACAGGGGCCTGGCTGCCTCTGGGCTCCAGCCAGTACTCTCCCTGAACCTCCCCCGGTGTTTCAAGCAGAGAGTCTTCCCTAACCCTGGAATGCTGCCGAGGCAGGGGCCCCCAGGAGTACATGCCTGAGTGCCCTGTGCCCTTTGGAATCTCCACCTCAGTCCTTGACTGCCCCCCCTCCTCATCTGTTCTCCCTGACTTCAGCACTGAGTCTACATCACTCATCCAATCTCCCTGATCCAAAAAAAAAAAAAAAGAACAGTTTTCTGAAGGAGTAGAGCATAAAGGGGCCTGACTGGGTAAGACACAGGGTTGTCCCCTAAGTACTTAAGTAGCAAGGATGAGAGTTTCAGGTATTGGGTATGTCTTCCTCGCTCCACAAACATATTTGCCCATGCGTTCACTCACTCCTATGCCCACTGCTGCACACAAAGCGGAACGTGTCCATAGGCTCCAGCCACGTGGGTGTACTCAAATACCTTCACTCACTCCGCGCCATGACATTATGAGCACAACCAGAGGTATGCACGTGTAGGTGTGCTCATGTATCTGGATGGTGGGTGCTGCCGTGTACCTTCGCACGAATACATGGACATGTTCGTGTATGCACGTGTGTACGCACCCAGATGCAGGGACGTAATGTGAACCCCCGCACGGGCCCCGTCCAGGGCTGCTTCAGGTGCCATCCTGAGCCTGTGGAGCATCTGGGCCCCGAGTCCGTGTTGAAGGTCCTCAGAGGAGGGCAGTGGGGCTGGGGCAGCCTGAGCCTAACCAGCCCAGGGAGGCCAGGGCGCAGCCCTCTCGGGAGCCCTGAGGATTTCCATGCCTGAGCCCAAAAGCGGATGGGATGGACTGAAAAGAGATACTTGATATGTCCCATGGGTGATGCTTTTATGAAGTGTGCCCCCACTTTAGAGATGAGGAATTAGAAGGCCTGAAAAGGGAAGTGACTTTCCTTTGCCCACCTAGACAGCCATTGCCAGGTTGGGGTGGAACCCCTGGCTTCTGATTCCCAAATAGGGCTCTCCCAGGACCGGTCCCCTCCCCCTGCCACCGCACCGCTCAGGTGCCTGCACCCCCCTCCCCCAGCTCCCCGGGGAGGCTGACTGGCCGGGGCATCACGCATGTGGGTACCAAGGGGCCAACATGGGTCTGCAGTGAGGGCCGAGATTAGCACGTTGAGGCTTTCGGATGCCCCCCCGCCCTTGCCCCCACCCACCACATAGCAACCCCACAGACCTGCTCTTATGCAGGGTCTGATTTTCATACTCTCAGAAACTACCCCAGCCGCCACACTGACATCTCCACGGCCAAAGTCATTCCAATCCCCAATGACCCCAGCACACAACGTGGGGTGAAGTAGGAAGAGCATGTTCTAGCTCTAGTGTCCCAGCAACAAGGTTTAATCCTCACCCTACATTCGGCAGGCCCGTGACTTTGGGCCTCTTACGTAACCTCCCTGAGCTCCAGGGTCCTCATCTGTAACTGCAGCCCACAGGACCTCCTCCCAGCGTTCACTGTGAAGTCAGGGCTGCTCTGGAACCAAGTGCCTCACTTTTGTCCTATCTGGTGCCCTGATAGCCCACCGGGGAGGCCTGGGTTGTGGGGGGGGCTCCAGTTGGAACACAAGGTCTCAGAGCCCCTGAGCTGGGGCCAGGTGCTGCCATAACCCCAATCTAACTCTCTTCTTCTCTTAGTGGAGCTCTTCCCCAACGGCCGAGCTGTTGGGGAGAAGATCTTCAAGACAGCGGGTTTTGAAAAGACTTTTGAGGACGCGCAGCAGGTGTGTATGCAGGCGGGGGGACAGATGGCCTCCCCACGCTCTGCAGCCGAGAACGAGGCCCTGCAGGAGCTGGCCACTGTTCAGAACAAGCCTGCTTTCCTGAGCATGACCGACATCAAGACAGAGGGCAATTTCACCTACCCCACCGGGGAGCCCCTGGTCTATTCCAACTGGGCCCCGGGGGAACCCAACAACAATGGCGGCTCAGAGAACTGTGTGGAGATCTTTACCAACGGCAAGTGGAACGACAAGGTCTGCAGGGAGCCGCGCCTGGTGGTCTGCGAGTTCTGAGCCGCGGGGGCCGGCGGGGAGCCTGGCCAGCGAGTGGGGGCCCAGGCCCGTGTGCTGCCAATGCCCCAATAAAATGGCGCCGCCTCTGCCGGCCAGGGCTTCTCTGCAGAGCCGTGGGGGTGGCCAGAAGGCAGGTCCCCGCGGAACGCCTCTCTCCGAGTCAGATGGCTTCACACACACAAGACCTGTCAGGAAGAAGGGGCCCGCTGCTCTCCCAGTGGCAAGGAATAAAATTGGGTCCCCACGACCTCCCCATGGCAAAATCCAGTGGCTCCTCCTCAGCCGTCCTCCTCCTCACACTCTCAGCCACGTTTGACCGGCTGACCAGCCCTGCCCTGCCCTCTTCCTCCTCTTCCAGAGCAGCGCTCTTGCTGACTTTTGTCTCGGCCTCGTCCGCCTCGTTTGCTCCTCCCTTCTTGACCGCTTCATGCCGCGGTGGGGGCCCCTGCTCTCCCTCCGTTCTCTTCTGGCCCGACTCACTCCAGGTGGAACTCATCCTGTCCAAGGCTTTGAATTCCTTCTCCTGACAGCTCCCATGTGCATATCCCTGTTGGGGGACCTCTCCCTGAACCGCAGGCTCCTCCAGCCAATGCAAGCTGGAGCCCCGGGGCTGGCAGGCCTCAGCGGCTGCCTCTTACTTCAAGGCCGGCGCCCAGGAAGTGGCAGAGGGCAGGGGGATGACCTGGCGGCGAGTGTCTGCCTCCCCCGACTGCATGGCCCTATGCCCAGTAGACCGGGCCTCATCCTTGCACGGCCCAGGAGCTCTCTCTCTTCACGTCATATGGCTGCCTCTCGGTTCATGGGAGGGAGTTCCATCCACACAACCCCAGGTCCATTTGGAATCGCAGGCACGGAGGGCGTCCAGCCAGGCTCACGTTTATCCCCAACGCTCATCTGGCCTGACAGGTCCGGGAATGTTCTTTCTCCACTCCGCCCCAGGGGTAGTCTCGTCAAAGGTTCCTCCCTCTACAGCTCTGGAAAGCAGGACGCAGAGCACGCCGGGAGTCACGCGTGGCCCCAGCACTACAGTTCAATCGTGCCAAAGTCGTCTCACCTCAGAGCTTATACTTTTGGCCTGTACATTTTTAGGCCAAAGTCCTCTGCGTGAATTTAGTCAATTTTATTGACACAGTACTGCAAAAGAATTTTTTGGTATTTTCTTTTCTTCTTTTATTTTTTATTTTTTATTTTTATTTTTTTTAAAGATTTTATTTATTTATTTGAGACAGAGAGAATGAGAGAGAGAGAGCACATGAGAGGAGGGAGGGTCAGAGGGAGAAGCAGACTCCCCGCTGAGCAGGGAGCCCGATGCGGGACTCGATCCCGGGACTCCAGGATCATGACCTGAGCCGAAGGCAGTCGCTTAACCAACTGAGCCACCCAGGCGCCCCTTCCTTATTTTCTATAATGTCTTTTACATAGTTACATGCATTCTGATTATATATATATATATTTTTAAGATTTTATTTATTTATTTGAGAGAGAGAGCGAGAGATTGAGAGAACAAGTTGGGGGGAGAGGCAGAGGGAGAAGCAGACTCCCTGCCGAGGAGGGAGCCCGATGCGGGACTCGAGCCCGGGACTCCAGGACCATGACCTGAGCCGAAGGCAGTCGCTTAACCAACTGAGCCACCCAGGCACCCTTTTCTTCTTTTTTTTAATTAAGTTTTAATTTTAATTCCAGTTAGTTAGCATACAGAGTTATATTAGTTTCAGGTGTAGAGTATAGCGATTCAACTGTTCCATACATCACCCTGTGCTCACCATGACTAAGTACTACAAAGAATGTAAATGAGAGATGCCTGGGTGGCTCAGTCGGTTAAGCATCTGCGTTCGGCTCAGGTCATGATCCCAGGGTCTTGGAATCGAGCCCCGCATCGGGCTCCTTGCTCAGCAGGGAGCCTGCTTCTCCCTCTGCCTGCCGCTCCCCCTGCTTGTGCTCTCTCTCTCTCTGACATTAAAAAAAAAAAAAAAAAAAAAAAACCAAAAATATAAATGAACCTATGCTTAAGAAATTGGAATGACACCTGGGTGAAGCACAGGCTCATAGGAGGGGGTCATGCCCTTCCCCTAGACAGAGAGCCAACCACTCTCTCCCTTGTTCCCAGAGACCATGAGCTCTGCCCTTTCTGGCCCTTCCTCAATGGGTCCCCCTGGTCCTCTGCCCAACACTCCTGCAGCCACATCCGGTACATAGGACAGCAGGCCTGAGAACAAAACGGCATCTCCCACCAGCACACAGCTCAGGCTCTCTGCCACGATCTTTCTCCTGTTACTAAAAAAATCCCCAATTCCTGGCAGCTTCTGAAATATAAGTCAGTTCCACAGTGAGGGCAAACAACTCTCCCGCACAGAGGCCACACTTGGACACGCTCACTGAGGGAGCTTAGAAAGGCCTTTTTGTTTGTTTGCTTGTTTGTTTTTAATTGCAAATATGAAGAACAACTGAATCGAGCTTTAAGCGAAATAGGAGCGTTTCTTCTAAGAACAGAGAGTTGTGAATTGGCCCAAGGAGGACTGGGAGACAGCGTCTGCTGTTTCCCTGGCTTCTGCATCCTTGCCTCTTCCTCCTTCCCACCCCAGCTTCCTCTTCTTCCCACTCTCTTGAGTGCCCATGTAGGGCGAAACGTGTGTCACAGAAATCGCCACCCGGAGATAAGAAACTCTTGCTTGATAGCAATTCAAAACTCCTATGAAAATGAGTCTGTCTCAGATGCCCGCCTCTGGTCCAATCACCTAAACCTGGAGGGTGGGTGCGCACAGGACAATATGGCCACTGGGATCCATGCAAGGTCATGGTGGTTTAGGCAGACCCTCTAAAAGTGATCACTATCCATCCTGACACTTAAGCCAAGCCTATTTCTTGACAAGAGAGAAGGAAAGAGTGCAGCACTATGTGACTCAGTAGGAAGGAAAGAAATCTTCTGTGATGTTGAAGGCTGGGAATGCTGAGACCCCAAACCCTAGGAAGAGGGGGCCGATCTATCTGCACCGTGGGGCCGCAGGGGCCTGGTTTGCTCTCCAGCACCGAGAACAAGTAAGGAGGGTCATTTGGGCTCTGTAGACACAGCTTGACTAATGCAGAGGACTGAGGCAAGCATTTCAGAAAATTCAGGCCTGAGCCCATTCCTGAACTAGAGGCCTCCCTTGCAAGTACTTCTATCATGGGCAAAGGTCAACACAGATCTTAAACATTATCAGCCCCATCCCAATCATGGTAGCCATGGTCCCTGCTTTAGTAGCCTAAGTGCCATGTAAAGCCCGGGCTGTGTGATTCTTATGATCTCAGGAGATGTTGTGACCCTCACAGTGCCAGGTGACATCATGGGAGAAGACTGGGATCCTTCTCTGTTTGGACAGGGGACAACCACAGCAGTTTCATAGGGAAGGCCCTGTTCAGTTTAACAGAAGATTCTCAAGTTACTCCCTGGTCCTCAACCCTCCTGGCACCAAACCAGCCCACGTCCCGCAATGAACAGCCAGTGGGGAGACCTCTGATGTTTGCTTTTTCAGGATCCTAGGTTTCTTCTGAATTCCCTTGATATAAAAGGGAATTGCTTACGTGGAGGGCATTCTCCATCACTCTTATCTTTTGCATGTCCTTAACCCAAGGTTAATAGTGTGCTTGACTTTTCAAGTTACCTACGTCTTACATACAAGAGCAGAGAAAACCAGGTATCTATCAGGAGGAGTAAAATATGAATTTATACCTCAAATATTTGTCAGGCACTGACACACAGAGATGGAAACGGCTGGTCATGCCCTCATAGCTGCTGCAGCCCTGCACATCCAGAACCTTAGAGGTAAGTTATAGAATGTGTTCCAGCAATGGGCAATCGAGATGCTCAATACATGGATTAGAATGAGTGGGCAAGTCTAAAACCCGTTAACGGGGAGAATAGGGAGCCGTCACCTTGTGCAATCTCCAGGCTACTCAGACTCTCACTATCGTTCAGGGGAATCGTCTGTGACTGAGGCCTCTGGATGGCTGATAGCAGGTGTTTTGTAGATGCTACTGTTTTTCACCAATATTTCAATGAGGGAGGCCTTACGAAGGCAGGCTTGTGACATGTGTCACCTCTGGGAGGACGCAGATGAGGACCAGGGCATATCCCCAAATGCCCTCTTTTCTGCTGCCACTGTGATCACAGAAGGCTTTGGTGGCTATGAAGTTACTCTACAATCCAGCATTCTGGAAACCTGAGCAAATTCATGGAGCACAACTACCCTTGTGGATCTAGGGGGGATCACTTGCAACCACTGGGCTCTGAGTGAGATTTGTGGGTTGTCACGGCAGCATCCGTAGCCCATCCATATTCGGTGACACACCGAATAGTAGCCTCCTTGCCCTCCATTTACTTAAGCAGTGTAATCTCTCAGACTGCCTGGCTCAAACAACTTCGAGTCCCAGAGGGACTCATGCGGGCCCTTCCTGAGCAACATGGTACTTTTCGTAGTTTTTAGTACATCGGCAGAATGAATGGAGTAAATACATGAAAGAGTTGAGTGAATGAAATCCTCAATTCCTACTTGTAAGTCTGTTTATAGGGCTGAATAAAGTGTTTTCAAGATGTTTCCAGGCCCTTTGATCTGAGAAAGTAGCGCTGTGTCTTTACCACCAGGCTTTCTGCCCTTTTATGATTGGCTGGCCCCAGGCCAGGGCTGAAAGGTCAGGCGGCAGCCTGGGGCCAAGCACGGGCACTCTGTGACCGGAGGGCTGGGTCCGGGCAAGAAGAGGAGGGAAGAACCAGGATTGGGTTTTGAGCCAGCCCGATGCCTGGCCTCCCGGATGCCTGACCCCCATCCACCCACCGAGAGGGATGTGAGTTCGCCAAAGACTCCATCCCAAGTCCTATAAGGGCCTCATCAAGTGATTCCTAAGCTCTTAGGACAGAATAAACATCCTAGAACAGTGAAAAAAATTTAAAAATAATAAGAATGGGGACGCCTGGGTGGCTCAGTCAGTTGGGCGTCTGACTCTTGATGTCAGCTCGGGTCATG